GCCCTGCCAGGATTTATTGAGAGATCCCAAACCCAGAGCAAATCCCTGGTTCTGGGATCAGCCCCGTCCCTGCTGCAGCTCCTGGGGTTGTGCATTAACCAGAGGGCAAACAGGGATGGGGGCACGGTGCCAGCCCTGGGCACAGCAGCCACTGCCCAGGGACCTGCTGGGGACACCAGGGACCTGCTATAATATCTATAATTATATATATTTATATTGTATAATAATGACAATGTAAAATGTAATAAATTTAATTTTTTCTGATTTTTATTCTTAATAAAAAGAATTTTAATTTCAGTATAATTATTTTCACAATAGCATTCATGGAAATGCTATTGTTTATTTATTAATTGTTATTGCTATTGCTATTGTTAATTTATATATTTTTATTTATACTACTATCATTCTTTACTGTATATACATAAAATAATTAATATAATGTATATAATATAATATAATATAATATAATATAATATAATATAATATAATATAATATAATATAATGTATATTACGTATACTATAGTATATAATATATATTATAGTATATATAATGTATATGATGAATACAATATATATGTGTATAATATATATTATATAATACATATTGTATATATACAATCTATATGTATTATATAATACACACTGAATAGATAAAATCATGTACATTATACATACAATGTGTATATATGTATATAATTTCATACAATTTTAAATTATATTATAATAAAATAGAAGCCAGAAGTGATTTTAGATTCAAATCCTGCCAAAGCAGCAGGATTTTTGTCCTAAGACAAATCCCAGCAAAAGGACAAGAGGCAGTGGAGACCAACTGAAACAGAGGAAATAGAATTTAAAACTAAAAGGATTTTAACTCTGCAGGTGCACAGAAATACGAAATCTAAGAACAGACCCATATTGACACAGACACCAGGAGTGCACTGAAAAGCTGAACATGGAAATATTCTCCTGCTTACCAAAAATCTCCCCATTTTTGGCAAATTCTGTCACGAGGTACAGCATGCTTTTGGTCTCCATCACCTGTGGATGCAGAAATCACACGTGAGGGATCGTGGGAAAAGCAAAAAAAGCCAGAAAACCACCCAAAAGAATCTTTATTTTTATGGTTCTCTCCTAAAGCTGCGAAAGTTCTGCCTCACGCCTGGAATTTCACAATCTTCCCATGTGCGCAAACAAAATAATCAAAAGATTCACTGAGAATTAAAAATCCTCCATTTCAAAAAGTCATTTCAGATTTCAGGACAATTTGAAGGTATTTTGGGTTTATTTCAACAACCTCAGAGAAACATTTCAGCAAGAGCTTTGTGAATTTGATTTTGCATTTCATTTATGAATGGGCCTGAAAGTCCCAAGAGACTGCTCACAAATAAAAGCACACCAGGGAGACAACTTGAATTTTAAAAATAAACTCATTTATCCACTGCATTTTTAGCCAGTCACTGAAGGACTGAGCACCACCCAAGCATCACCATAAAATTAATTTAAAGCTGAACTGGTCTTAAGTGGGATCTTCATTTTTGTTTAGCAGAATTAAGAGAGGGGAAAAAAAGTGGGAAAAAGGGGGGAAAGAAAGGAAAAAAAGGGGAAAAGCCCCTCTGAGCCCACCTGGTAGAGTTTTATGATGTGTGGGTGGTCGAGCATCTTCATGATCTGCACCTCCCTGTAGATCTTCTCCAGGTTCACAGCATCCAGCTGAGATTTGTCGATGATTTTTATTGCCACCTGCAGACCAAGAGCAAAAATGAGGTTTAAAAACTCCCCCGAGGTGAGTTCACCCTCGTTGGGAAGGGAAAATGCAGCCCCAGGTCACAGGAATGCAAATCCCAGGCTGGAAAATAGAGCAGGGCAGCACTGGAAGGGTCTGGGGTCTCTCCAAGGGGCTGCAGGGATATCACCCACAGCAGCATGTGAAAAAAAGCAGGTTTTCAGTGAGAAAAAACTGATTTTCAATTAGAAAAAGCAGATTTTTCATGAAAAAACTCCTAGATTTTCCATGGAATGGAAGGCACAGAACAGGTGAGAGAAGCCAGTGCTCTGGGTGCTCTTAAATCAACAATTTGCAGTGATTTAAATCTTCTTAGTGGTGCCCATTTCTGGAGCCAAGGTGACAAATCCGAGTCCCACAAAATGATATTTTAGGAGAAAAACTTGGCTCCACACAAACAATCCAGTGGGGATCTCCACAAAAAACCAAGGGGATCCATGCACAGTTGCATGTGTGATATGTTTAATTAATTGAAATGCTGTTCTAGAAGGGGATCTGCAGTTCATCCCTTCAGAGGAAAAACTCTGCTGATGAATTTATCAGTCAAACCCTGCAAACACATCTCAGCTAATTCACAAAACTCATCCTGGCCCTGCTGACCTTGTTTTAACCAATAAATGCAAAGGGAAGATAACTCTAGATGCTGAAGGGATTAAAATGCTGCAACAGAAGAAATTTAAAGTTGAAACCAAGAAGAAAGGGAAAATTCAGCCCCTGCACATGCAAAGGGTAAAAATGCTAAAGATGCTGAATATAGAAGTGGTGTTTATTCAGCCTGAATGTCACTGTGCTAATGCTGGAGCAAACAATGAGAGTCCCACTAATGCTTCCAATTATGACAGAATTTCACAAACTACTGAACAGGGGAGAGACAGAAATCCATGGGAGGTGAGCATCATTATCTGCTGACACTGACTGTGGGCCCACCTGGGCTCACAATTAACTATTTGTTGACCTCAGCTCACTCTGATTTTCCTTCTTTAAAATCCATTTTCTCTCCCCAATTCCCAGAGAAATGTACGACTCCAAGTGTGCAAGACATTTGTCCATAAAATAGATATAGCTGCTAACATGGATATATCTGCTGACACTAATTGTGGGCCCACCTGAGTTCACAATTAACTATTTGTTAACATCAACTCACTCTGATTTTCCTTCTTTAAAATCCCTTTTCTTTCCTGAACTTCCAGGAAAATGTAAAACTGTAAGTGTGCATGACATTTGTCCATAAAATGGCTATACATGTTAACACTGATTGTGGGCCCACCTGAGCTCAAAATTAACTTTATTGACTTCAGCTCACTCTGAATTTCCCTCTTTAAAAATCCCTTTTCTTTCCTCAACTCCCAGGGAAATGTAAAACTTCAAGTGTGCATGAAATTTATCCATTAAATGGATATACCTGCTAATATGGATATACCTGCTAACACTGATTGTGGGCCCACCTGAGCTCACAATTAACTACTTGTTAACATCAACTCACTCTGATTTTCCTTCTTTAAAATCTCTTTTCTTTCCCCAACTCCCAGGAAAATGAACAACTCCAAGTGTGCAGGAAATTTGTCCATAAAATGGATATACCTGCTATCACTGCTAACATGGATATATCTGCTAACATTAATTATGGGCCCATGTAAGTTCACAATTAACTATTGATTGACTTCAGCTCATTCTGAATTTCCTTCTTTAAAAGTCCCTTTTTTTTCCCCAACTCCCAGGAAAATGAACAACTCCAAGTGTGCAGGAAATTCATCCATAAAATGGATAAACCACAGCAGAGCAGCAGCTCCTCCACTCACATGCAGATCAAACACCTCAGCTCATTCTGCACCTTCATCTTGCCAGGACCAGGGGAGGATTTTACAGAAGAACCACTGAAAAGTACTGAAAATCCAGCGAAGCCTTCCCAGGGGTGTGGGGAGGAGCAGGGAACTCAGCAGCTCCTTCTGGAGCTCAGCTGTCTCTGGATGACAGGAAAAGGGATGTAATTCTTAGAGGTGGGGAAGCTCCTTCAAGGCACAGAGCAGTTTCCTATGTGAGAAGTGTGTTTTGTTCCTAAACATGCAGCTTGCCAACAATTACTGGCAACAGTCTGAAACAAACAACAAAAATCCCGCAAATTTCAAGATATAATGTCAAGATATAATGTCATTAAATATCCTTCACCTGACAAGGAAAACCAAAAGGGAATCCCTGATCTCCCCCTGCCACCAGGTTTTGCTGCTTAAGGAGTTAAATTCCAAGATATCTTTGCAGTTTGAATGGTTCCTTCTCATTTAAAAAGCCAAGGAACTGCACTTATTTCTTATTTCCTTCCCCCTTCCACTGAGGGCCCACTGAGGGAATGGGAGTTTGCTCAATCCTCCCCTGACATCTGGGAATTGCAGCTGCCAAGGAGTGAGGATGAAACGCTTGTCAAGGGAAGAGGAAAGTTGTTCTGCTCCTCAGCTACTCCAACCGTCACTTTCCATTGTTTTGTTTTATACATTTAATTCTTGAAAGGAAAAACAAAGGCAAAAAGCAAACACTCGAACAAAAACAAAAAAAAAACCCACCAAAACCACAACACAACCTCCTGCTACAAATTCACATTCAAACAGAGCTTCGTCCCTGCAGGTTACAGAAATTCAGATTTGTTAACCCAAGGCATTCTTAAAAGAGATAAAAAGCATTAAAATTAACCAACACAACTTGTGCAGCCTGGAAAAACTCCACATTCTGTTGTGTGGCACAGGGAGCTGCTGTCTCTGCTGGAGTTATTCACTCTGCACACACCTGAGCCCACCTGCGCTGGTGCCACAGACCAAACCTGCAGGCTCATTTTCCAGATTTTTACCAGAGAAAACCACAAATTCCCTGGAAGTGCAGCCGGGTGAAGGCACATGTGGGAGCACAGGGGGAGCCGGGTTTGGTTTTCCCCTGGGGAGCAGCGAGCAGAGCTCCTCTGCAGGGGATTAATCCTGGGGAAGGGGTTAATTAGGGATTCAGGGCTGGGTTCCCAAACTCCCTGCGTTTTCCAAGCAGCACCTTCACTGCTCCAAACTTTTTCCCTATTCCCTGCATCCCAAACTTTTTCCAATTTACCGACATTCCAAACTTCCCTACACTCCAAACCTCTTCTCTATTCCCTACACTCCAAACCTTTTCCCTTTTTCCTACCTTCCAAACTTTTTCCCTCTTCCCTACATTCCAAACTTCCCTACCTTCCAAACCTTTTCCTTATTCCCTACACTCCAAACCTTTTCTCTATTCTCTACATCCCAAACCTTTTCCAACTCCCCTACATTCCAAACTTCCACACACTCCAAACCATTTCCCTATTCCCTACACTCCAAACATTTTCCAACTTCCCTACATTCCAAACCTTTTCCCAATTACCTACACTCCAAACCTTTTCCCTTTTCCCTACATTCCAAATCTTGTCTCTATTCCCTACATTCCAAACCTTTTCCCAATTCCCTACACTCCAAACCTTTTCCCTTTTTCCTACCTTCCAAACATTTTCCCTCTTCCCTACATTCCAAACTTCCCTACACTCCAACCCTTTTCCAACTTCCCTACATTCCAAACTTCCACACACTCCAAACCATTTCCCTATTCCCTACACTTCAAACATTTTCCAACTTTCCTACATTCCAAACCTTTTCCCAATTACCTACACTCCAACCCTTTTCCCAGTTCCTAACATTCCAAATCTTTTCCCTATTCCCTTCATTCCAAATCTTTTCCCTATTCCCTTCATTCCAAACCTTTTCCCAATTCCCTACATTCCAAACCTTTTCCAACTTCCCTACACTCCAAACCTTTTCCCTATTCCCTACACTCCAACCCTTTTCCCAGTTCCTAACATTCCAAATCTTTTCTCTATTCCCTTCATTCCAAACCTTTTCCCAATTCCCTACATTCCAAACCTTTTCCAACTTCCCTACATTCCAAACTTCCCTACACTCCAAACCTTCTCCAAACCTTTTCCCTATTCCCTACACTCCAACCCTTTTCCCAATTCCTAACATTGCAAATCTTTTCTCTATTCCCTATATTCCAAACCTTTTCCCAATTCCCTACATTCCAAATCTTTTCTCTATTCCTTTCATTCCAAACCTTTTCCAACTTCCCTACATTCCAAACCTTCTCCAAACCTTTTCCCTATTCCCTACATCCCAAACCTTTTCCTTATTCCCTACATCCCAAACCTTTTCCCTATTCCCTACATTCCAAACCTTTTCCTTATTCCCTACGTTCCAAGCTTTTTCCCTATTCCCTACACCCCAAACCTTTTCCCAATTCCATCCCCATCCCCA